TCATGTCTGTGTATAAATATTCCATTTATATAAAGTTAAATAATAAGCAAAATAATTCTATGGTACTTGAAGTCAGCATACTCGTTACCTTGGTAGGGGAAATAATTATTGGAAGAGAGCAAGAAGGAGTTGGTGGGATGCTGCTGATGTTCTATTTCTTGACATGGGTGCTACTTACATTGTATGGTTACTTTGCGAAAATTCACCCAGGTGTATATTTATGATATATATATATATGATATATAATACACATATATATACACATGATATATATATGTATATCATATATATATACACATTTCTGTATGAATGCTATATTTTAGTAAAAAGTTTACTTAAAAATGTTGAGTTCTGTTTCTGAGAATGATATAGTAGTTTATATCAGACTAACTCTCCTGCCAGTAATAATTATTAATTCTGGACAAAATATTTTAATAAAAAGCTATTTAAAGATACCAAAGAACGAACGAATGTAGGCAGAATTTTGTGATATGACCCTTGAAATAAGGAAAAAACATATTTTAACCAGTTTTTCCACTAACAGCCCTCCCAATTTGGTTCACTGTGGAGGAGTTACAGTTCAAGTAAAAACCCTCTGTCTTACAAGGCTGAGTAGCCAAAGACCAGAATTCAGAGTTGTCAGAACAAACAGATTGTAGGGGAAATCCTGGAAAAGTGGGAGCCGGATAAGAAGCAGACCCAAAAGTTACACACAAAAGCCCCTCAAATCCTTGCCTGAATTGAAAGCTGCAGAGGGAAAAACAAGAAATCCAGCAGAAAGCCACAGCTGAAATGCTAAAAGAGCTGCAAGATTTCAGCAATTTCCCGATGCACAGGATACAAAGTTCAGAGTTTAAGTCCCATTATATTATAGGATTTTGTCCAACATCTTGGACTTTGCCTGGAAAGTCCACACATTAGAAATAATAACCACAAACCATACTAAGGACTATGCCATAGTACTATGGAAGAACCAAATAGAACTGCCGCAACATATTTTGTACAGGCTTTAGGTGATCCTTCAGTAACCTGACTATCTACTAAAATAAAATAAAATTCTTCAAAATCCAGAGTCTCTAAAATGTATTAACACAATGTCTAATAGATAATAAAAATTAGTAGATATATAACACACACACAATGTGATCCATATTTATATATTTACAAATATATAAATAGATCCACAAAAGACTAAAATGCTGGAATTAGTAGACTTCAAAATAACTATATGTAAGGATACACTCAGATAATAAAAGGAGGTAAATTTCAGGAAGAACACAGAAACTTTAAAAAAAAACAAATATAAATCTTAAAATGAAAAATATAGTATTCTTAATCAGATAATTCATAGTATGGTTTTCACAGAAAATTGGACACTGTAGAAGAAAATATCAGTCAACTTAAGACAAGTGAATAAAAATAATCAAAACTGAGGAAGAAAGAATGAAAACAATTAAAACAAAAAGAGAGACTCAATAACCTATGGAACAATGTCAAGAGGTCTGTCTATGTACATATAACTGTCGTCTGAGAAAGTTGAAATCCTGAGAAAACTTAATTAAAAACCCGTCTCTTTTATCTTATCAACAGCATCATTTTGGTTTTGTCTCAATGATTTGTTTCCATTCATTTTCTTTAGAAGACCTGTGGTCATGGGCTGAATGAAAGTATAATAGGTATGATGTTTTCTATTTTAAAAAGTGAAAGGGGTGATAATATTACATTTTACTAAGTGAAGAATTAACATTTGGAAAAGTAGAGATGAATCTGGTTGATATGAGACAAAGAATGAAGAATAAAATTAAAGAATACTCTGATTGAACTTGTACAGTTCAAATTTGATGAGAATAATTAATATCAAGTAATAAACAAATTTATAAATAACTTCTGGCATGTTAAAAAGTAAGATTTTTGCCTTAATACACTATACAACTTTAACTGAAAACAGTAAAGAATATAAAACAATAAAAACTTAAACATCGAAATACACTTTCCAAAACAATGCCTTTATGTATCAGGAAGGTAATGAATAATGTGACTCACCAATTAATCAAAAATAAAATTATATGAATATGGCAGATAGTTCACCACCTAAAAAAGCAACCTCACTTCTCTTTGATGCATTTTAATTATCTGAACTCATAGCTCCAGTCTTCCTTATACATTTTCACAAACACTTAATCACTTTTTGAAATATGCACTGTTCCTCCCATTCTTTGGTAATGTCAAAATAATAACATCTGGGATGGAAGTATGCAACAGTAGCCTAAAGAAAATGTTGCAGGAAATGTTACTTCTTCATTAAAACTTTAATTTCTCATAACCTAATTTCTTTCTGACTTTTGAGCAATAAATATGTGACTATTTCTACAGATGTTTAAATTCGTACAATCTCCTTGTTTTGCCACATGCAGAAATAATAGTATAAGAAGTCATCTATTTCAAACATTTTACTAATTCCTTTATGTGGGAAATCATTCAAAGTTTATAATCATAGTTATTTGCATTCCCATCTCAAAAGATTTTTTAAGAAATTTTAAGCTAACTACAAGATACATGAAACAATTATTTTTAGAATGGTTATAGAGTATTTCCTCATATATTAATAAAATGATAAATTAATGTCCATGTACATGAAGTTCTGCTTTGAATCATTGGAATCTATAAATTTAAAATAGGAAATCATGAGTGAAAAGAAGAGAATTCCACTATTATAATTTATTCATTTTAAATATCAGTAAATATCCATGTACACTCAACAAACTCATTGCCTCAGAGTGATATTCGTAGCCTCGGAAATTAAATTACCAAAATACCTTATTATGTGGATATAGAGAATAAAAGAGGGATTATTATACATTTTAATAATAACTGTTCATGCATATATTCCATCAAATATGTTAATCACCATAATCTTTGCCAATACAAATGTACTTGTAAATAAACAAAATATTTATTATCTCTATGAAGAAAAATCCTAAAGGAGGTTCTTGTCATCAATGAATCTTTAAAATAATTAGTGCATTTATTTATTCATACCCTAATTGAACCTGCCATTGATGAGCCAATGGCAATGTCCTTAACTTTTTGACTATTTCTAAGCGTTATTTCCTAATCTTCATTTCTTTTATGCATGTGTATATGTTTTTACCCACCTTCAGGCCTACACATTGCTAATAAATTATGGTAGCATTTTAGGTGTCAAACACAAAATTCAGCTACATGTTCAATATTTGAGATTTAATTTTATTATGAGTTAGTTGGTAGTAACTAGACTGACGTGGTACAAAATGAAGCTATTATATTATTCATGAGTAAATTTAATATCATTAATTATTAGTAACGAGAATCACTCTGAGGACAAAAAATATTAAAAGATGCAAAACTGATTAAATTAATGACATGAAAATCTAAGATACATACAGCTAAACAGAAAATACTCTATTCTTACTGTTCCTCACATATACTATTCTTAATTACCTAGAGAGAAAAAAATAATAAAAATCATTGATCTAAAATTCAGATATTGAAAGTCGTCGAACCCAGTCCTTATTGCCGTAACAAGTAAAATAAATGGAGAAAAGGGCAATCCTGTAAGAAAGGCCAATGTTGGCTAGCATTAGTAGCCTATAAACTTAAACTATAAAATTAGTACATAATAGAGAATTGTATGAGTAGATTACAGTGGCCAAAAAGAGTACATATTCTAAAATTAATACACATAAAATTCATGGTAATGTAATTATTAAATTATTACAACAAATGATGTTGTAATAGCAATTGCAGATAAGAGTGGTTAGATGTTTATTCTGTGAGGAGACTGAAAAAAGTGAATACTCTCGAATTAGTGTTCAATTAACATCATTCAAGTATGAGAGACTATATCTAACAAAAATAAAATTCCAGTCATTAGTGAGGATGTTTTAAAAAGGAGGGAAGATAATCCTCTAGGATTTCCTAGTACCAATCCTTTGCTCTAATTTTCTATTCATCTAACAGCCTTCTGATATATAATTTAGTCCTGTATTCAGTGGAAAGGGTGTGATCCATATAAACAGTTATTTGTTAAGTTGCCAGGTATACCTCCCATGATTGATAAATGGCATGGAATTCATGCTTATAATTTACACTTCTGAAATTTGGTTAATGTCAATCAGATCTTCATTAATTGACAAAAATGTTACTAAACCTGGGACATGCTAACCCCATGAAGATAAAATTATCCCATGAATACTATCCAAAGCAGCAAGCACTTGCCTCATTTTTCAATAATAGATTCATCAGGAACGAAAATCTTCAGTTGGAAAAGCAACAAGCCCACAATTTTCAATTAGAAAAACTTTCTGAGTTTCCTTTAAGATTCTCTGGATTGATCTAATTCTACTCTATGGTTTGGACTATATATAAATCAGGTTAGAATGCAAACACTGATAATAATAACAATAATAACAACAATAATAACATCAGTTTATATTCCTGAGATTAACTCTTATTACCACCTTGTAACATAAGCATTATCATTTCAATTTTCTAAATGAGGAAACAGAAAGGTGACCGACCTTAAGTCATATAGTTCTTAAGTGAGAGAATCAAAATTTAAACTCAGATTTGAGCAATACTCATGGTGATGGTTTCAACCACTATGTTATACTAGCTATCTGACATATTCATAAAATATTAGGCAAAATGAAGGAAGAAATCATAAATTCAAGTACCTATAGCTATATGACCAAATCCTACTGTATTAGCTATCTCATTTCTATATTTAAGATTCTAAAGCTAAAATTAAAACCTAACTGTGTTTCATTTGGGATTATTCTGTAATGAGTGAATACATAAGTATCACCTCATGTTAGTGTATCAAGCACTAAAGTTTCAATAATGGCTATAAAAACACTAAGAGATACCTATTAATACCTATAATGGCATCTTCAAATTCTATGATATATATCATTCAAGATAATTCAATAAAGATATGATAAACTTCACTGAAAACTTACTTTGCAACCTCCGTGTTGGGCTTTCTCCATGAAGCTGTCGTCGTGGCATGTATGGAGAAGGATGTGGAAGTGGTAATGAAGAAACATCATGGGTCTGAAGTTTGTACCAATGTGGCTCATCATCTAATAATGCTGTTTCTAATTCAATTAAAATCTATAAAACCAAGAGACAAAGAACTGTTATATACTAATAATACAGAAATTCTCTTAAATAATTTTTCATGTTTTGACAGTAACAAAATAAAAGATAAGTATTTATAACTCTGGTTTTGTTTTGTTTTGTTTTGTTTTTTAGGTAAGGCAATCCTTGGATGACCTCACAGATTGCAAGGACCTTGTCAGCTTTACAATCCCTTATTTTTTTATTTTTTACGCCTACAACACCTGGTCTTCCTAGGTGGTCTCCCATCCAAGTACTAACCAGGCCTGACCCTGCTTAGCTTCTGAGATCAGATGGGATTGAGCTTGTTCAGGGTAGCATGGCCATAGACCTTATAATTCTTATTGATTTAAGTTTTAAATATCTAAGACATTTATTTTGTAGACCCTTGAGTACCTACCACTCAAGGGTATTAAATTTGCTATCAGAGAAATAATACTTATTTATCAAAAGTCTGTACTACTAATATATGTATATCATTTTATAATTTCAGAAAAAACATTTTTATTTTCATTCACTAACTTAACCTTTACAAAATTCTAAATGGGGAGAGTAAAACAAATTAAGAAATTAAGAAGTGCCTAATGTGTGTTAAAAAATCATGTCATATGTTATCTTAATTTTCATTTAAAAAACTATTAGTTTGTTCTAATCATTCAGCTTGTATAGATGAGGATATCAAGGCTAAAAAAAGATTAAAAGAACTTGTCTAAGCTCAGAGTTGGTACATCAAAGAATGGTAACATAAATCAAAGTCTTACTTAAAACTATGTATTCATGCTGCAAAAACCTAAAAATTAGAGAGAAAAAATGAATTTTTAAAATGAACCATATAATATAGATTTTATAATATGAATATTTAATCAATTTACAGAGGAAATCGGTCCATAGAAATAAATGACACTTTTTATTTTCTTTTAGTATCATGTACAAATATGGCAGTGTTTGTACTTAGGTACATGAGAACTGCTCTATAATGATAAATCACTATTTAGCTATGAGACATAAAGAAGCAAAACAGCTAAGTTCTTTCATTCTTCCTGTTTTACCTAGTCATTTTCAAAATTATAGGCATTGTATTCCAAATGTTTATATACATACACACATGCACGCACACACTTATTTAATCCTCATACTAATTCTGAGTAGCATGCCTCTAATACTCCCACTTTGTTGAAGAGGAAACTGAGGCACAAACAGATTTAATAAGGACACAAGGCTAAGAAACGGTAGGCTTTGCTCCTAATGACTGTATTACTGTTCTTCTTAACTACTTTGCCATTCTTCCATTCTTTAGCTACCCACATTGTTAAATATTTTTATAAATTGTTTTCCCATGAGGTTACCATTTAATTTACTCAGCAAAAACCAAACACATTGAAAAACTCTGAAAGCATAACTTAGTGTGTTAATAGCTAAAAAACTGCTTCTCATTTTACGCCTCTCCAATTCATTCTCCACATTATACTAAAAATGTTTTTTCTCAAATACAAATGCAATAAAGCCGTTTCCTTTAGAATCTAACACTGGTTCACGTTATCCACAGGATAAAAACCAAATTTTCTAATGTGACCTATTAATGGACATAATCTGGTGTCAGTTTAACTGTCAAGTCTCATTTTTTACCATTTGTCTTTCTGATTTCAATGCAGTTGTCTAAGACTTCCTCAACTCTAGTGTCTTGTTATTCCTTCTACAGGAATTTCACGCCTCTTGACTTTTGGCTAAATTCTATTTTCTCTGTGGAGCCTTCTCTGGACCGCTTCCCCTCCTCTAAACAGCAAGTTATGTACTCTTATTGCATTTCCCTGTAACACCATCTACATACTATATTATAATTGCCTTTTCACTCATCTGTATCCCCAGTGAATTATAAATTCCTTGAAGTAACATGACTTATTTACCTTTGAAACCTCAGTCTTTAGCATATTACAGGTATGTTACAGGGCTTAAAAAATAATCCATGATTAAATTATTACACTACTAGTGGTATAGCTGGTTCAGTAAACTAAAATGATATACATACTATAACACACAGCAATATATTTGTAGAATACAAACCAATCTTATCAGTACTGAGATTTCTACAATAGGAATAAACATGTAAAAATTGTCATAGAGTACTTAGAACCATTGTTTTTTATGACATCAATAAATTTTGCCTTAAAGCGGTAGCTAAATTCATTCTGTTAAGGAAATTATATTTACTTTTTTGGATATTCAAAATATAAATTTTTGAGGTGGGACTTCTGGTCAAGATAGTAGGGTAGATAAATGCTGGGCTTGTCTTCTCTCATGACCACATCAAAAATGACAACTAAACTACAGAAAAATCATCATTGAGAATCACCTGAATTCTAGCTGAACAGAAGTCTGACAACTAAGGACACACAGAAGAAGCCACCTCGAGACTGGTAGGTGGGGCAGAGACGTGGAACAGGCTGCAACCACACCTGTGTGGGGAGGTTAAACATCAGGAGAAATATCTTGGTCATGGAGGTTCCTCCACAGGTGTGAGGGGTCCTAGCTCCATACCAGGTTCCCCAGTCCAGAGTTGTAGTGCCAGGAAGAGAACTCCCCACAACTTCTGGCTGGGAAAACCAGTGGAGATCATGGCCGAGTGAGACAAATGGCTATTGGAGTCCCAGGCATTTCTCTCAAAGGGCCTATGCAGGACTTACACACTAACAGACTCACTCGCTCTAGGCTCCAACGCTGGGGCAGCAGCTTGCAAGGTGCCAGGGACATATGGGGAGGAAATAAATCGTCTGGCTTTAGAGCTAAAGTAGAGCAGGGGGCTTTCGCCCATACAGAAGTGCTGGCAGAATTCATCGTTTCTCTGTTGAGCCCTCTCACTTCCCAGATTGTAGACACAGGTGATGGACATGTCTAGGTCTCCAAAAATCCGGCTAACAAGATCACTCTGCCCTGGTGATTCCCTGAGACCCCCATTCCACCCAACTTGCAGGCCCACCCAAGCCTTGAAGTGCCTTTTCCATTCAAATGGCCTGTCTTGACTCATGCTATGGGCTTTCCTAAAATCTCTCAAAGGTTCACAAAACCTAGACAAGCAGCATCTGGCCTTGGCATGCCCCATACCTCTTTCTGAGCAGCCCCAAGCCCAGCACAAGCAGCAGCTAGCCTCACTTCACAACTTAGCCTCTCAAGGCACTGACAAACCCAGCACAGTTGATGGCCATCTGCAAATTGCTTGGTGGCTCATGTTAAGTGGCCCTGAGCAGGGTACAGGCTGCGACTGAACCAAGCCAGTATCGGGGCCCTTCCCAAAAGCCTTCAAGGCTGGCATACCCAGCGGCTACTTTCTGTCTAAGCTGGAAAATCACCCAGCAGCTTCCATGGACAACACATTCAAAGGGCAGACTAGGAAGGCACCACGATCCATCTAAAGCAAATCCTGCTGTGTAGGGTCAGCCTTTGCACAATAGCTCCTCCACTTTAATCATGGCCAGTCCTCACAAACAATCAGCCTGAGGGTCGATCCTGCCCACTGATGTGCAAATAGCAACCAAGACTCAACTACAACAGAAGGGCACATACAACCCATATAAGGGACACACCTGCAGTACATGGCTCAGGTGACCAGGGAGACTGTGCTTCTGGGCCCTACCTACTACATAGGGCCACTCTACTAAGACTGGGGGACCTTGCAGCTCTACCTAATACATAGAAACAGACACAGACAGACAGCCGAAATGGGGAGACAAAGAATCATGTTTTAAATGAAAGAACAGAACAAAGCTCCAGAAAAAGAACTGAACAAAATGGAAACAAGCAATCTACCAGATGCAGAGTTCCAAATACTGGTTATAAGGATGCTCATTGAACTTAGGGGAAGAGTTGATGAACTCAGTGAGAACTTTAATGAAAAGACAGAATTCAAGCAAACAAACAAACAAAAAAACATAAAATGGAGACAGAAAACATTTTAAAAAGTTAGAAATGAAGAATACAATAACTGAAATGAAGGAATCAACAAATTAGATGAAGCAGAGGATCAAATCAGCAATTAAGATGATAAGGTAGCAGAAAATACCCCATCAGAACAGCAACAAGAAAAAAGAATCCAAAAATGTAAGGCTAGTTTAAGGGGCCTCTGGGACAACATCAAGCATACTAACATTCGCATCATAGGGTTACAGGAGGAGAGGAGAATGAGCAAGAAATTGAAACCCTATTTGAAGAAATAATGATGGAAAACCTGGTGAAGGAAAGAGATACACAAAACCAAAAATCACAGAGTCCCAAACAAGATGAACCCAAAGAGGCCCGCACCAAGACCCATCATAATTAAAATGCCAAATGTCTCTTTAACAGAGACAATCTTAAAAGCAGCAAGAGAAAAGTAGTTAGTTACCTACAAGGAACTCCCATCAGACTGTCAGCTGATTTCTCAACAGAAACTTTGCAGGCCAGAGGGATTGGCATGAAGTATTCAAATGATGAAAAGCAAGGACCTATAACCAAGATTATTCTACCTAGCAAAGTTATCATTTAGAATTGTAGGACAGATAAAGAGCTTCCCAAACAAGATAAAGCTAAAAGAGATTATCACACCAAGTCATCATTATGAGAAAATTAGAGGGGCTTCTTTAAGAAAAAGATCAAGAATATGAATAATAAAATAACAATAACTACATATGTATCAACAAATTACTTAAAATGTAAAAGTATTAAGTGCTCCAATATAAAGACAGAGTGGCTAAATGGATAAGAAAACAAGACACTTACATATGCTGCCTATAAGAGACTCACTTCAGATCAAAAGTCAAACACAGACTGAAAGTAAAGGTATAGGAAAAGGTATTTCATGAAAATGGAAATGAAAAGAAAACTCTAGGGTAGCAACACTTATGCCAAACAAATAGACTTTACAACAAAGGCTATAACAAGAGACAAAGAAGGACTCAGTAATCCCACTTCTACAAATTGGTAATTACAAAACAAATTGGTAATTACAAAACAGTCATGGTGATGTAAAGTATAGCATAAGGAATAATACAGTCAATAATATTGTAATAACTATGTATGGTGTCAGATGGGTACTAGATTTATCTGGGTGATCACTTTGTAAGTTAGATAAATATCAAATCACTATGTTGTACACCTGAAACTAATATAATATGCAAACTGTAATTGACAAATTTTTTAATTATTAAAAATATAAATTTTTACTGACAGTCATATAAATAAATGTATTCAGGATGATCATGTAGAGTTAAACTTTAAAATAATTCCAGATACCTCTCCTAAGAATTCACTTTCTTCCTCTCGAACTCGCGCTTGATCCCAAAGAGTAATCTCCAACATTCGTTCCCGAAATTCTCTTCGGTGGACTGGAGAGTAAATGAATGTTTGGTTCCATTTGGGTTCCAATGTTTTCTTTACAGTTTTAGTTCTTCTCTTGTTTTTATCACTATGAATAAAAAAGTGTGTATGAACTTATATAAACCTCTAAGTTTTGCCATAAAAATTATTAGTGTAAAATTTCTCAGGAAACAAGTTTTGCCACAAATTTTTCATATGTTACACATATATAATCCTTAAAACTGCTATTAAAATCTATAACATGTATAATTATATCTCATTATAAGTATGGCTTAATAATAGCAATATTTCAATAAATCTGAGATTTTCCCATGATAATTAAAGTCAGTCTTTCTTAAACTCTAGATAAAACCAGACTATAGGATCTTATTTCTGAATTTTTAAATATACTGCCCTATTCAAAGCCTTCCAAATGCTAATAACTAGTATCCTTACATATACCATTCACTTAAACTACAAAACTCTTATTTTGCAACAAAACACCTAACAAATTTTGATGTTCAAAACCTCACATCCATATAGTTCAGCTAATGAGCAATTGTTATTACATTCTATCAAGTTACTTACATATAAGAAATACATACTTGCCTATTTGACATTTATTAGGTCTTTAAAAACATTGTAAAATTATTTCTAAGTGAGGTAGCCACTAAAATGTTAGATGGAAATGGAAGACAGTCATCCTGATAGATGGAAGTTCCACCTCAGAGGCCTCCATACTTTTGTTAATTACCTATATCTAACAAGTGAATGTTTTTAACTATGCATTCCATTATATACACATGTATTTATGAATAATATATGCATGTATTACTCTTCTGTTGTACTAATATATTATATACATTGATAAATATCCAAAAAAGAAACTAAAAATAATGAGATAAAAATAAAAAAAATTCAAATATTTCTTCTTGAACTATATTGGATTGTCTTACCCATTCCCTGGGTACATACATACTTTTTGTATGTACTTAAGTATGTATTTTAGCTCATTAGGATCAATGGCTGAATAGAAATAAATAAAGAAAATCATCTAGGATAGAAACGCATAGCTATCTAGAGAGCCTATTTAAAGCAAGTGGACAATGAACTCCAAGTGGAACCATTTTAACTGTTACAAATTGTCACAGCACAGCACAGTTTAAAGAATGTTGGTATAAGAAGCAGGGAGAACTAAGAGGACACAGTGTGTCTCTAAATTGGGGTGGAAGGAAAATAATTTGGAAACCCATGTAAGAGATTTTATCTCTATTCAAATTTGTGAAAAAGAAGTATTGTAAATAAAAACAATTAAATAATAGAAATAACAACAAGGACTATGACATGATTTTTTCCCTCAGTCCTTCTCTTCTAAAATTTTAACAAATGTTTATAAGGATCTACTTATATCCCATCCATTAAAGAATGAATTATGACACACTGTCAAGACAGAAAGCCCTTTCTATGAAGGCTAGAAAGAAAGTATTAAGGAGCCTTGCTGTCTGATTCAAGAATAGTTTATATTGCAATATGAAAGGGAACAGAAGAATAAGCCTTGACTTCCTCTTAAGCAGTGAAAAAAGTTCTCAGACAAGAATGACTATTTTAAAGAGATTTCTGCACTGGATAGAAGGAAAACTAGATAATCTTGGAAGTTCCTCACAAACTCACCATATATGATGACAATTTAATAAGGTAATTTATTGTGCATAAAAGGACCAATGCATGGAAAGAACTTGAAAAATTGTCTTCAGAAGTTAAAAAATAATAAGTTTTTCTAAAAGTGTAATGAAGGCCTTCTACATAAGATCATGCTGTATAAGTCAAACACTGAAAAGTTATTAAAAATAATTAAAAACTAAGATCAATAAGCCCGCTATAGATATTTTTTAAATAGCTGCCTAACTATAGTAAAATAGATCTCTAACACTATCATTAAACTGTCAAGAATGTAGTTAATAGTTTTAAAAAATAAAATATAACCTAAAGCTATTTCTATTTTCATGTTACCAATACTTTTAGTTTCCATTTAGTTTAATTTAGTAACAGAATGCAAAAACTTGATGTTTTAATTCAAAATGTAAGAAAGAAAAAATATTTTAACTGGTAGCCAGCTTTACTTCAAGATATAAAAAATTGCCCACCTGTTTTTTTAGAGTACATAGTACACTGTGTAGAAAATAATGTTTTGAATGGCATAATTGACATACTGACATTCTAGAATAAATCTCTTCTACGTAGCCTCCTTTGCCCCTTCAGAAATCCTTATCAATAAATGGCATCAATTATTTTCTATGTTCACTTGTTCAAGTAGTTTTTCTCTCAAAAATTTGTCAAGAAAAATGAAATAATTCATATCCAAACCATAAATAATCCTTCATTCAAGTGTAAAAACTTGTGTCAATGAAAAAAAAAAAATGTTGAGATGATAATGTAGCTGTTTCTGTTGACCGGAGAATTCTTTTCTTCACCAATAAACTACAAATCTGCCTAAATATTCCTGTTAACTGACAAAGAAATTCAACTGAAAAATAATCTTAGAAGAAAATATTCAATTGTTTCACATTCTTTGGTGTTGAGAAATGAAAAAATACTACATATGGAATATAAATAAGTGATTAAGGGGACCTTCTCTTCCATTTTAGCTCTATCTGCTCCAAAAGTTGCAGGGATATGGAAAATAGAATAAACATAAACAAAAATAGTCAATCAAGATCAAGAAGCAAATTCAATAATTTAAGAGACCTTATCATCATAAAATATTTTTCTTCAAAGTTTTGAGTAAGTAAAAACTTGGTATGTGTGTGCACAAAAGCATAGATGGGAATGCAGCATTTTCTGCAGTTTTTTATGATGGCATTCTAAGGATGTGTACACTAGGAAACCATGTGTCCTCTAAAAAGCCAAGTGACTAGGCCTCCAGAATGTCAGGGTAATACGGCTGCGGCATCTGTCAACCAACTGAAGTTTAAGTTAGATTTAACAGCTCTAGTCATGGATGTCCTCTTCCTCCCTTGAAGTTCAAAGTGTTTCCTGTCCAAAAGACAACCTAAGTTGTTATAAAACAACTATCTTCAAGTAAACTTTATAAGAGAAATTTATACAGCAAACAATTTCTGATAACTTTAGATGTTGTGCCACTTTGACATATTTTCTGAGAAATTTTTCCTATAACTTTTACTTCAAAACGTATCAAAAATACAATTTAAGGCTTTGGTTAATTGTTTACTTCTTTCATTTCATCTTTTACTTTGCCTTAATTGTTCTTCAGATGATAGTCTGGCACTCAACTCAAACTGGAAGACTTTGAACTTGAAGTAAGTAAATAAGGGTCCAAAAGTATGTAAACATATTTAAGATCACATGGGTGCCCAGCCACTTTCAACCTGAGAAAAAACGAACAGACCATGAGAACACTCTCTCCTGAAAGCCAGGGATACAGAATTGCTGGGGAAAGGGTAACAAGTATCATTACTTCTTTCTTTTTGCATGATATTTATTGAATAATCTCTTATTTTTTATATGTCTGAAATTGAGGGTGATTAGATAAATTTCTGATAAGTTGTTTTTGCAATCCTAATTTCTCTATTTAAATCAGGGTAGAACAATATTTATGTTGTTAGCAAGGATACAAAACAATTATACTTGAAAAAGCTGATTCTGGCCCAGTAGTAAATCTCCTTAATGATAAGTGGTGATGAAATAAAAAGCACAGAGATAAGTTTTAAAAAAATCTCAAAGTATTTACCGTCATTATTTTGATTTCTAAGAATCATTAGGCGTACGTTAAACTTCATAAGCATCTGATTGGTATGATATATAAAAATAAATAATAATCAAAACACCTACTGCTATTAACGTTTCTCACTTATTTTCAACAACACATTTTTATTTCATATTCCTACCTTCTGTCTGGAAGAAAGTAAATTTTAACATAAGGATTCCTTGGCCTCCCATCGTCCCTGGAAGGGAGATCCTTTGCTCCCAAAATTGTAACTATTAATTGGTGACCAACCTTGTCAAACCATAGTTTTATCTGAAAAGCAAAAATATTCATTTATCAGCTTAAACATTTACTACCTTAACATAATGTTTACATTCCCAATCTTTGCCCCATTTCCATACACTAATATTAGCACAGAATATAAATTTCGCTTAGTAAATTGAGCTTAAAATTAAAGGATATGCTTTAATAACTTCAATGAATAGAAGATTAATTCAATATTTTGGTTTGATTGATAAATCACTTGGACTTTTTATACTAATTTGATTGCTGATTAACAAGCACATAATAATTACACTACCATAAGTAAGGACTTTATATACAATGATTGCTGCCAGTCTATCTTCATGCAAGAATCACTGTAGTTCATTTTGGCTCCGCTACAATAGTGAGTTCAGAATAAATGGTTAAAATGAATTGAACAGATAGTAACTTGTTCATATGGCATTCACAGGGAATTTTTAAGCCAATGTTTTATGTTATTCCTCAGTAAAAGACATTTCAAAGATTATAAGCAATGGGGAATTACTAATAGCTTTAGTCAATAGACTATTTAAGTTTGTATTTAAAACTATAATAAATTCATCTTTTTAAGTTTTTCTTACATAGACATAAAGTCTCTTTTTTGTTTGTGATGCGAATGTATCATCCTTAGAATAAGAGTATATTTGATCATTTGAGATGAGGAAATGTGAATAATTTCCCCATGCTATAATTAGAGATTGGAATTTCACATCCACCTGCTGAATTCATTTGATTTAACAATTGTCACCTCCTACACACATACCTCACACTCCCACACCTAGCTAGCTGATTCTACCATGTCAAGATCTATGATAACTGTGGCTCTGACTCACATTTTGGTTCAGAACTCGGCACATCTCTGACTACTATTTTGAAACTAAAATTGAATAAAAAATTTGGAATTTGGGAAAGAATATATTTATGTAATATGTATTTTTATGGTTTATATATTTTACGGTATATATATGTGCATATATATTAATTATTTAATTTTTCCATTGATTTGAATGTACGACGTTTGCAGCAGTTTAAAAGAATTTAAATATACATCTCATATCTGTCCTTCCTCTCCTCTCCAAAGTGGACAGTCAGGTCTGGGTCAGGCTCTGGTATATATAAACTTATTTATATATAAAATATTGGTAGTTCACTTCCAATTCTAACATGGCTTTGTTGAATCCTTCGCTTTGTATCTTAGAGAATGAGAAGCTGAGCCTTTAACATTTGAATGGAAAAAAGTTCAAATGTTTGTTTGCTTAATGATATGAGCAGCACGAGTAAACATTTTACATTAAATAATATTAACTAGAACCATTTTAATTTTTAAAATTTTTAAAATTAGATACAGAGGAAGATAAGAGACTGAACTACTCTGGCAAAAGACATGAAGGGGGAAAAATGTAAGAAATACAAGAGTGTCTTGTATATGAGATGAAACAGAGATTCTGTCAGATAGCATCATGGTTCCTCTAAACTGTGTGACCAAAACCAGATTAATTTCTGATATTTTCTATTGTCTATAGAAATAAAAAACCTTATGGTTTTATTTTTCCACGATATTAAAAATCCTTCTCTGAGGATCATGACATGAATATTATGACACCTCAAAGAGAAAAAAGATTCTGAAAAGCTAAAAATTTTTTCAATAAATTTTACACTTAAAAGACGAAGAAACCGTAATTAGCATTATTAGGTTAAGCTCAATTATTAGAGCAAAGTATTGATCTCTGTAAGTTTTTTGTTTTGAAGGATTGAGACTAAGCACTTGTTGCCATCTCTACAGGTAATATTTTTATTCCTTTGAAATCACTACAACCAAACATTTGAGATATACATTTCAAATGTTTGACAAAAAAGTATTCTTTTTTAGATTTTCTTATGCCATGGAAAACCAAAAATATCACTTACTAATAACATTCATTTTTTATAAAAACAGATATTAGGCATGTAGCTTTAATATTTTCATAATACTTAACAGCTTATTAAATTACATTTTACAAATATATAAATGTTAAGATAATATAGATATGAAATGGGCACATTTTAATTTGACTGATTTTTTCTATCAAAATCAAACTTTTTAATAAACTTTCTTAAGCTGGGCATTTGATCAGTAGCCCTAATTTTTTATTACAGGACATGCATTGAAGTTTTTAACAGATATCCAGTTCACATTATCAAAACATAATCATTTTATTAGTTAGAATATTTTATCACACTTCTAAATTCTTTATCTGTGCTTTTTAAATGAATGGTTAATATAACTGTTGATTCCCCAAAACATAACAGCTGTATTTTCACAATTCTACATATAACATACTTCTTACTTTATGTCAATTTTACTAATAAAAATCTTGGTATAAATTTAATTATTTTAACATAATTATCATTCCAGCTTTACCTTGTAACCATTTTTAAATTTCCTAAGCAGAAACTGAGTAGCACGAGTAAACATTTTACATTAAATAATATTAACTAGAACCATTTTAATTTTAAAATTTAAACTAAATCAATATTATTCAAAACCAACAATGACAAAAAAACATGCAGCGAAGCAAGGAAAGCATAATACTACTTAGAAAAAACTATATTGACATTACTTTATCATATAAGGGTTTGCTAATGAAAAGAGGCAAATAACTTGTACCCAAGTATTACAGTAAAATTAAATGGAATGACAATTACAAAATGTAAACAAAATAAACCCAACACATTTTATTTGGATTGTGATTTTTAAAAGTAATATACTTTCCAAAAGTTGAACCTTAAAATGCATAAAATTAATGTTTTAGGTAAGGTACAAATTTATTTGCCAATTCTCCTCAAGGAGTTATTGCTTGGAAAATGCAAGAGAATGTAGATGTCAAGTGATATAATGAATGATTTAAAGAGACAGCAGCCTTGTGCAGTAAATGAAAAATATCAACAGTATAAAATTAGCTATTGCTTTCAATGCTACATATATAAGCAGAATCTACGTTAAATGCCACTCTGAAACCTATGAGTTTTGGTATTCAGTTCATCATATAAAATCACTAACTAAGATTGTCTCTTTAAATTTTTATTGTAGTTTAATCCCCATGCAGAATTTTACAAGCTAGCTCATAAAATGGTTTGAAAGTCAATAATATGGCTTGGAGCAACATACCAAAAAAAGTTTCCCTACTACGCATTTTCCAAAAACATACAAATAAGGGTTAAAACACAACTTTAGTTTCTATCAGGCAGACAAGGCCTTTACCTGAACCCTAGGAACAAAAGGCGTTGTTCTTCTACTAAGGCTTTGGCTCTGGTAAGCAAAATTAAAGAAAAAAGCAATAAAACAAAACCAAAAGGACAACACGCTGGAACTAAAAGACCAAAAGTAAAAACAAACACATACAACTATCCCTTAAATATAACTTTTCCATGTCAAGATATATCTAAATTAAGTAATTTAATGTAAAGAATAAATTAATTTTGCCAAAATGCTAAAATAGATAAAAACTATATAAAATCTCAAATTTTTATATCATATTTTTAAATGTAATCAACATAACAGGAATTAAGACCAAATGCAAAATATCATATCTGGGCTCATATGATCTAAAAGAATGAGTGTAAACATAAACCAAGAGCCAAGAAAAGTCAGGTTTCACCTTTAAATGCACTACATAGAAAAAAATCACAGTCCAAAAAAAGTTAGATGAAAATGCATTACAAAATTATTAGTGAAAAGACATCCATAGAAATAATTGTGTGACTTCTCCAAAATGACATATCTAACAGAAGTCTAAAAAACATTAGCCAAATTGGCTTTAGCATTTAAAAGAATAAACACTGTAAGATAAAAGTATGCTGGAATGCACTATACTGATTAGTTGATTCATATTTTAAGAATCTATACAAGATTCTAGTATTTAAACACCTTTTATTTTGAACCACTGTCAATAACACTCTTTATTGCTAATCATACCTATTAATGACAATATTTCATTTCTTTTTATTTATATAGTTCTTTATATTTTTCCAAACCTTTAATAACAGTCCATTGCTTCCAACAACACAAGGAGGTAGTTACTATTATCTACAATTTTTAGATAAAGAAACAGAACCACCCCCCAAAAATAGACTAGAAGCTCAAACAGAAAGCAAGAAGATAGAAAATAGAGACCAGTCCTGATTAAATCACTATTTCACATTCTTACAGTTACATTTCTTTTCTCTTCTGATTTATTTTGTTTTCATTTGAAATAGTTTCCAAAAGACACCATGATAATCAGAATTGTGTGTCTTTATTAGGGCATGTCAACAGTCAAACAAAATCAGATGCATATCTCTGGGCTGGGAATGGATTGCAAGGCATTTAATTTTGTTCCTTTCACCAAAATTCGATTCCATTCTTCACATTTCTCATGGATGTCTCTCGTCTAATTCAAAGAGCTGTAAATACTTAATGGCTTCAGACTTTTCCACTGCTATATGGAAACAGTTAGTAGGTACTAGGAAGACTGTTGCCCAATTCAACTATCATCCGACACTTTTTTAGACATGAATCTAAAACCCAAAGGAAAGGAAAGCAGACCTCAAAAGCAGACTCTCATTCAATCATGAGTCATCTTTCTCTCCAAAAACCAAGGCAGTCTCAAATCTAAGCTGTCTTCCTTTTTGTGAGGAGACATTTCCAAAGAAAGAAATGTTTAGAAATGGAGTATGTTACTGATATCTGTCTGCATAACCCCAGCTATATAATTCTCTAGCAAATGGGGAAGGGATGTATGAAATTCATGGAGATTAACTAGGCATGTTAAAGGAAGGCACTAATAAAATACTTCACTTAGAAATGCATTTTCTATTCCTTGCCTTCTCACCTGTTTTAGACCAAAAATATCAGGATGATGGAAGTAAATATTAATTCATAAACTAAAATATTTACTTTAAAAATAGTACTTTGAAATAAATTAATCTTTCAAGGCAAATATTTTTGACCTTCTAATATGATCTCAAAGGAGCAACTCACAGATTTCTGAAATCAATTGTCTAAAATCTATGGCAATTTAAACCTAATCATCAGCCATAAGTTTGTACATTAAACTTGGCTATAAAGCATGTTTGTTTTATTAGTTTTTTAATTGAGGTGAAATTCAAATAACATACAATAAACCATTTTAAAGTGTACAATTAAATGGCATTTAGTGCCTTCACAATGCTGTGCAACCACCACCACCTCCTAGTTTTGAAACTTTTTCATCATCCCAGAAGAATACCCTGTACCTATTAAGTAATCATTCTCCATCCCGCCATCGCCCCAACTCCTGGCAACTACTAAACAGCTTTCTGTCTCTATGGATTCTGGATATCTCATATAGGAATGAAGTATTATGTATCTCATTGCAATTTGTAATTAATATTATTTCATTTTTTGAGCATGGAAATATATATCTATAACAATTTAGCCTCATCCAAATGAAGAATATGAATTTGTAAATCATAAGTTATTTTGCATTTTTAATGTCATTTCCTACTATATACTGCACTACTATCTTTAGGACATTCCTTTTAAGCAATGCTTCTGGAATAACAAGGCTGTGACAATCAGGTATGATAGATAAAAGCTTAAAGAAAAAATTTTCATTTACAGAAAGTTGTGAAAAGGCTACAGAGTTTCTAAAGATATATAAAGGATACATACCTATTCTTCAATTACTTATTCCCTTTAAATGGGCATATAAAATGAATATGTACAATATTTATAAACTCATCACTAAAAATGGAGTCAGAAAAATATTAAAACAAAGTAACTTAAGGAAACATTGCAACCATAAAGTAAAATAAGATTGTCAATAAGAGTCAGTGTATTCCTACAGAAAAAAAGAATTCTGGGCCATTTTTCACTTTTAAAAGAGTTGAAAAAAAAAAAAAAAAAAAAACTAGCCAAAGACTGCAAATTACTTTTAAAATATTGAGAGAATTATATAGGTAATCCTCAGAAGAAGGAAGCTGCTATATCACTGAAGAATACAAAATTTAAAAACAATCAAAATAAGTGGGTGCTGATACTGAAACAGCTAACATACAGTCCAGGTGTCATAAAACTGAGTTCATACTGATTTTCTCACCAAAAACATTAATGGCACTTTCGTAGTTATGCCCTAGAATAATCACAAGCAGCAGCACAATTCAAGCATAGAGAAGAAATACATTGCATAATTTTTAAAAACTCAACAGCCTTGAGCATGAAAAGTCTAAACAATAATTTGTATTATATGTGTTTTTCATTTGAGAAAATATCAGTCAATGAACTGACATAAATATATTAGGAAGGTCGGCTCACATACTATACAAATACCTTTATTCTCAGGCATAAGCAATGTCATGATGTCACTTAGGGTAAAATTTGACCAAAATCAAAAGTACCCAAAGGTAAAATAGGAGACAGGAACTGTAACGTTGCCCTGTGACTTCCTAAGGGTTTTCCTGAAGGGTGATATATGTGGACACATATTTTCCCAACCTCTACATTATTACAGCAAACCAAAGTTGGCAGAAATAGAATCAAATATAAAGGGAAATACTATATCCAAAAGGGTATCTTGCTTATGTTTTCCTGCAAAGAATGAATATAAAATTAAGTTTCATGAGAGTAAAATTCATGTCTATCTTATTCACTATTGTATTCCCAGCTACTAAATATTATGGCTGAACTGGAGTCAGACCTTAACATATATTTCTTGAATACATGATTGGAGTTTAATTTGCTAAAAAACTTTTTGGAAGAAAATTTGAGCAATAGATTTCAAAAAATCTTAAAACTTTCTTCTCCTTTCTTATTATAATTTTACTTCCGCAAGGTTATCCTGACAAAATTAATTTGTCCTTGCAAAACATGCAAGATTTATATTAGAGGATTTCCATGGCATCATTGTTTATAACATAAATTAGAAACAAGCAAGATATCCTATAATAGCAAATTAAGTGAAAATGGAGTATTAAATAGCTATTAAAATCATTTTAAGAAGAATTTTAAAAAAAGTTTAAAGGAAAAAGTCCACAATACATTAGCAAATGAAAAAGCAGGCTTCAAAATAGTATACACAGATTTATTAACAGTTTTGTTTAAAAATTTATATGTATGTGAATGGTTATATTTTAGTGGCAGGATTATAGGCAATTTTTATTTTTTATTTATCTGCACTTTCTAGATTTACCACAACAATTATTATTGTACTTAGAAACATTATCTTATTGGAACATACTCCTTCCAAGACATAAGAAAATAATAAAATGGTACACGTTTTAAATTACAATTACACGGATTTTAAACGAACATTTATAAATATAAATACTACAACTTTATACCATTATATATATATATTTGTAAGTAAAACTTTTAAGTTTATATTTTCCTCAAATATTTAAGTGTTCCCTTTCTACCATATTCATTTTGAACCATGAGCAAAAACTGTGGTATTTGAAATTTGTCTAAATGCCTATGCTAGGCTCCTCATCCTTCCCTCCTAGTCCGGTTTGTTAACAGGGCCTTTGAATTTCAAACAAGGTAAAAAATTGGTACTTACTTATCATGGGAATATAACTTTCACTCCTGCCTCCTCCACCGACTGACGCTAACTATACGCACGCGCGCATGCGCACATATGTACACGCGCGCATGCACGCGCGTGAGCTCACAATCCTGGCACCATCCATCTACCCACAGCATATTTAAAAATGAACTATTTAAATAGAACCATTAAAAAAAGAGCTAACATTTATTACCACTTTCTAAAATGGTGGAAAAAATATATTTATAACCATAAATGAGAACATCTGTGCTGTCAACATATGTGAGAGAATAGTAGAAAGATGCTTATTATGAAAAAAATGAAAGAAGACCATTGTCCTCAAATGAAAAGTTCATTCTGCTTATAAAAGGGAAAAGAAAAGAAAATAATAAGAAATTCATTTCAATAAGACATTTACACTCTTCTATCTCATCTTTCTTGCTTAACCTTTTGTAATTGTCACCTTTGTAATCAAAATAGTCCCAGAACAGACATCTCTAGTGGCTTTTAAAATAATTTTTAATATGTTAATTTTGCTTACACTTCCTATATCTCCTTTTAATTAATGAAAATTCTTCAGTAAAAATCAAACACCTCCTCTTCCCCCCCAAAAAAGAAATTTCATAGCTGATTTAATAAAAACGTTTTTTATTGTTCTTAAAATATCAGCCCAAGAATAGTTTAGCTTTTAATTATAATTTTTATCCAAAATTCAGTGTCCAAATTTTGAGAATCTAAATAATTCTTAATAGTCATAAAATTTCAAGTTTAGTAACTTTTTGGTGTCATTGTTAATGTTAACCAGTATATTTCTAAAATATAACGATAAATTTTAATATTTTCAATTGTTTAAAACGGAATGAAAACTGAATAAGTTAATTAAAAAAAGGGCTTAAATTTGCAAAGCTCGTCTAATATGGACATAAAACATATAGTTGAATTTCAGCTTTCATCATAAAATGTTCAAATTAGAGATCACTTAATATGTAATCACCTGGTATGCTCAATAATCTATTATATATTTACCCATTTAATTAGATTTGTCTGTTGACAAAAGCATCTCAAGTATCATTATATTTCAGAATAGTCATACTCCAAAGATTACTATGAAATTCACCCAAAACTTCCTAAAGATTCAAAAGCAGAGAATACATAAATATTTAGTTTCATCTTAAATATACCATTTTGTATAGTGCAGAATTTTTATTTCTCTTAAAAGTCTATGACACATGACAGTCATTTTAAAGTACTGAGCAAAAATCACAACCTTGGGTTTTGGAATAATACTACTAAGATAAAAAGTTTTAGATATCTTCACAAATTCAAAGTCTCAATAAATTCTAGAAAACCTAACTCTAATAAAGAAAGCATTATGGTAAAAAATTAAAATTGAATTTCAATTAATTAAAATTACTAATGAGAAAATTGATGGTTAAAAGGACAATTATGTTCTAAGAAGAACTTAGTTTACAAAAAACTAGCAACAGATAATAAAAACACTACTTGAAATTCCAAAAGGAGGAAAGTGATTACATACTGAAAGTTGTCCAGATAAGAACTGTGGAACATCCCTCAACATGCCAGGACTCATGGGAGAGGTAACGGAAATAGAAGGACGATCCATTTTTTGAGATTCGAATGAGCTAGAACCTGAAATGGTAATTATACATAAAGAATAATAACAATGGCTTTTCATTAGTAATTATTAATCTTTATCAAATACCTCTTAAATTTTTTAATGTCCACAGAATGTCATTATAGTCATGATTTTCTTAGCCACAATGTTCCAAATACATTAGAGAGTTTTACTGAAGCATAAGTGAAGCTTAGTGATTTCCCTTAAGACCAAGGGTGAACCATTTCCTGTGCCAATTATAGTTGAGATGGACCTCTACCTCAAGATTTACTTTGTCTATTATGAGTACTAAACCTCATATCTTACAATAATATCTTAAGAAATTTTTTAAAATAGAAATTTCAGTAGGATAAACCAATAGAGCAACCTGAAGATGATTTAAACTTGTAATGATAAAAAAATAAATACTAGAATGTTAATTATAAAACATTTTCAGGAAGTGATTTTATTAACCATATCTGGAAGGATACAATAAATTACATGGGGAGAAAGGAAGTGAGGGACTATGAAAAAAGAGTATCAGAAAAAGCAGAACTACAGTATCCAGAAATTATATGTATGAATTTATTTCTATGGAAGAGAAGAGATAAATTGGAAAGTAAATAAAAACGGGGCTTTTGGGCTACTGGGGGAGATTATGCCTAGAATTCTGGGTTACACATTTTGGCGCTAATGAAATATCCAAGCTAAGTTCTTATGTGTGGGGTAATAAAAGTTGCGGAAGGTGACTTTAGCACTTATTTAAAGTGTGTACTGAATTTAGCAAGATGAAAAATAGGAATAAGTGGAATTCAGTAAGATAATAACCAGGAAGTTTGCAAAAATTGGAATATAAAGAATTCAGGAGGTATAAAATGAGAAAATGAAGACTCAGAAACTAATTAGATGTGAGATATAAAGGAAAAAGAGGGGAAAACATATGAGATTTCAAGTCTTATAACCAGATATGGAGTCAAGAAAGTTCCCTATGTCTTGTTCTCTGCACAGGACCATGCCGACATTCCCTGAGATGTGGAACAGTGGGGAAGTCTGTGTATAAGGGAATGGGTGAAAAAGTTAATTTGGAAGACAGTGACCCTGTGACACCTTTGAGACATCCACGGGGAGTTATAAAGCAGGTAACTGAATACATGGATGGAACCCAATGTTGAGGAGACATTAGTGTTAGAAATTAAACTGTAAAGTGTCTCCCTAATTGGAAACACAAAGATAAAATTGACCTCTAGAGAGAATAGTGTAAAAGGGGAAAAGTACAAACCTTGGGATCAGAAGTAATGGTGATATCTTTTATAACATTTAGAAGTGGAAAAAATGCTGACTTTATAGTAAGAAATAAGCTCAGTTTTCCAAAGTTTTCCAAATGTTAAGCATCAAGGAACAGGAAGACACCTAACAGAACGTAACCTTTAAACATCCAAAGGATGAAAAGACAATGATAGATCCTTTTGATAATGTAAACTTAGGAGTCATATGGCAATAAAACTATCAGAACATAAGAATTTACTGAGGAACTAAAGCCAGAAAATTAACAATTAGGCCTTTGGGAAACCTATTCTTCAGCATTTAAAGTATAAAAGATTAAATCTAATTTGAGAAAGGACCCCTGTCTCCTCAGGAACAATTCTGGAATTTTTCCACACTGCTCATACAGTATCTGAGTGATGTAATATAAGTATATAAAAATTTACCCACTTCTTAGGATTATTATAAAAAATTAAGTGTGATAATATAGGTATAACATCATGCACAATATGAACTACATAACAATATGTAGTTCCAGGAACTCAATAAAATAAGAATTATAATGATAATATCAAACATAATAATTATCATTATGTTAGTATTTCTTTATGTTATAGTTTCATGTGATCATGATATTATTTTAGGATAAAATGACTTAGCACCTAGCCAAAGATACTAAATCAAACAGGTCATATAATCATATTTTAAAGTATAGAGCTATACCATTCCAAAGAGATTTTACCTATCTGATAAAGATTTTAAAGAAATTTATACTCATAATTGTAATATAAAATTAAAAACATTTATTTTCTTTTTTCTTTTTTTAGAACATTTATTTTCATAGAATATTCTCAATTATTGTGTGTATACAGAATCCAACCACTTCTCACTACCTTCATTGCTACCACCACAATCTAATTCACCATGATCTCACCTCTAAAATACTAAAATATTCCTCTCACTGGTCTCTCTTCTTTCGCCCTTAACTCCACTTAATCTATTTTCAACATAGTAGCCAGGTTTTAAAACGTAAGTCTTTCTTTAAAACCATCATATACTGTTCTTGATTTCCCTCAGAGTATAAGCCAGTGTCTTTACGGTGGCTAATAAAGTCTGCAATTTGACTGCCCACTATTCTTCTACCCTCTCAATCTTGCTTACTCTGTTGCAGCTAAACTGGCCTCCTTGGTTTTGCTTAAAAGCATCTTAGGCTTTTCTGCCTCAGAGACATTGCATTCTGGTTCCAGTACCTGGAAAGCTTTTTCCCCAGATAGCCAATCTTTCAAATCTTTCCTCAAATTCTTCCTTCTCAATGTGATCTATCTTGATCAACATATTTCAAATTGCAACCCTCCTCTCTTCATTCACAGTATCCTTTACTCTAATCAATCAAGAAACTTAGTTCATTGGAAAAAATTCATTAATTTAACATCTGAAATAGCACTCAAACACTAGTAATAAAAAGTATTTATGTGTCTAACATTATCTAAAATAGACATGTAGTATGTCTATTGTTCTATTACTATCCCAATGTTAAATCAGATTATCCCACTTTCTAAAAATATAAATAAGACTATCTATAATTATTCACAAGATTATCTCGAGCATCCCCCCATTTACTGAGGGTTAAGTTACAATACAAACCAGTAAGTTTTAAAGTTAAGGGGAACCTGGTGTACAGGATGGTGAGATTTTGGGAGTGATGGCATGCTCATTTTTTTTTTAATGTGACGATGGTTTCACCTGTGTGTCAAAACTTATCTAGCGGTATATCTTCAATATGTAGTTTATTGTAATATACCTTAATAAAGCTATCTAACAATACCTAGTGTGGTTAAAAATAACTATCTTAAAGTACTATAGACTTTTGTACTTTTCCCCACAATGACATGAAATCATACTAAATTTTACATGATTATATAATTGATAACAAGATTATTATATTTCTTTGTATCAATAGATGAAATACTTCATTTGACCCCTGATGAATGACATTACCAATAACATTTTCTTCTAGAATAAATGAAACTTACTGGACTCCAGTTGTGGATGTGTGCTATCAGGTATTCTAGGTATATCTCTAAAATGATAGAAAAAGAAAACAAGAAATTGTTTCAACAATTAATGCTACTTCCATTTTGATCATTATTAACCCATATTATAACAGGATAGTATAAGATTAACAAAATTGTGTATAGTAGTAGCATTATATATATGAGAAAAAACAATCCATAGTCCTCTATTGCTAATAAAAGTATTCTGGGATAACTTCAACTACTTAAAAGAAATTAAAATTCATACACGTTTATAGCAGTCTTGTAAAAACATATACTTTATTTTCTATATGCCTCACTACATAATTATCCATTCTAAAAATTTTCTGTATTAAACAAGTTTTATAGATATATTATAATTCTATTATATTCTTTCTTTTTACTTGCTGTTGTTCTAAAGCGATAATATTAAAATACAAATAAAATATTACCAAAATAAAAATTGAAATGTTCAGATCATGATTGAGATTTTTTTTTAATGTAATAACTCCACTGAAAAAATGTGACTATGTTTCTTACTGGGACTCAGAAAATTACCTTGTAACTGCATTTACACCAAAAGTATGTACATTTTTGTTTGAGATTTGCCAAAAAGAGTAGATATTAATGATTAAGAAAAGAAAATTACATAAAAGAATATTTAAGATAGTAAATGTCTAAAGTATCTTTTAATACCAAGAATATATTTGGTATTAATGTTTGGTATTAGTGTTTGGTAACTAAGTTGATACAGTGTAGTTTTACCATAATACAAAACTTAGAAAAGACAAAATGAAAAACAGATACAATTTCATGTGCCAGATTCATTACTTTTGAAAGGAACATTTCAAAAACTAAATTACCCACATAAGTCATTTTCTACGGCATGAAAAGAGATCAAAATAATATCATCCAATCACTTCCTAAATGAGTTAAAATTGGGCATTAGTATTTTACACAAAGAATAATTTCTATAGCCGCCACCCTAGAATGCTCTTATTCCGAACGTACATTTAATAATTCACTGTCAGTTTAAAATTTTAATTGCTTTTTCTAGTTATAGATGCATCTTTGTCATTGGCTTGGAATATAAGCTCCTATAAAGGAAATACTACAGCGATAACTAATGAGTAATTCTTCTGTAGGCATTAAAGACTATGTTTCCTGCTAACTTTTGGAAACTGTCATTTTAATCTATAGGTAACAAAATATAAAAGCCAGAGTATTTGGCATTTGCTTATTTTTTCTTAAATTGTTCCCTCTATCTGGGAATAGCATGCTCTTTAGGCCCTCCCCTTACTAGACTGAAACCTCCATTTTGAAAAAAAATATGTACAATTCATAGAATATAGTTGATTCTCATTTTTACAATGTAGAGCATCATAGTTCACAAAACTTTAAAAGTAATTGTTACTATACTAATGCCATTAGCCATCTGTTAAATTATTAAGATAATAAAAATAATAAACACCTAAATATTTCTTCTTTTATAATTAACTGTATAATCTAGCATGATCACATAAAGAGAGGTCATAATTTTTTGTAAGATGTTTTTACTAAAGAAAAATATTGTCCTCAAAATAATATATTTTTATAAAGCAATCAGACATTTTTGGATTGCACATTACAAACTGTTTAATAGCAACTATCTATGCATGAAAAGTACTCAAACCAACTTACCCAATAGGCCTTGAAACAACAAGCTCCACTTGTGGTTCAGGTTTGGATTCCAGAATGATATTATATACTTCTTCAAATGTGGCTCCTTGCAATAGCCTTCCATTCCATTCTAACACTTCATCGCCTATTGTGTGTGTCAGTAATAATAATCTTAGAAAGAAAATCTAACCCAATAAAATGCACCCGAAACAAAGCAATCTTAAGGTACAATGAACCTCATAGAATAAAATCAGCATTATGGAAGAAGAAACATACTGAGAATAGCTCCAGTGGCATAAAATTTGATGACCAGGATGATTAGTATATTTTACTCAAAAGGACAAGGGTCAGAAAAAAAATTACATAAAAGTTATTTCTGTGATTTCCAGGATTTTCTCAGCAGTGTCTTATCCATGAATAGTTGTTAGTTCTTCTTGTGATGGGGAGCAAGGTCAGGAGCAAAGTATGTCACTATCTTGGTGAAGTCACTTCTGTCTCTGTGATTTCTTAATAGAAATTCTAATTATAGAAACTATAAGGCCTCTTTGTAGATTTCATGACTCTGCATTCTAGGTTTTTCAAAATACTGTGCATATTGTGTAAATTTTTTGAAAAAAGCTTATTATTTAGCATCTTATCTAATCCTGTCCAAGGTACTCAAGGATCTCTCCAATAGTATCCATTACCAAAGAGATAAAGAGTGATACATTTTAGGAAATATATATTTATTCATGTAGTTTGTTTCCTAATCTCTGCTGGAATTTTTTTCAAAAGAAAAGCAAAGACTTATGGGAAATAAAATAGGTTAATACTAGATACATACTAGGAATATCTACCAACAACAACAAAAAAATCAGTAAATACAAAAATCTTTTTATCTAATATGACTCGAGAAATAATAGTACAACTTTCTATTAATGAATAAATTTATATTTAAGTTAAATAAACTCTTTCTTACTGGTCATATCAATGCTAAGTGAGGACAACTTTTTCATAACTACTCGTTTAACATTTTAAATGTAAATAACCAAAGATAGAAACCTACCTGGTCTAAGATGCCCTACAGTATCTGCTAAACTTCCTTTTTTTACTTTGGTAATAAATGCACAAAGCCGACCTGATTCAGTCATCTTTCCTCCTACAACCTGTTTAAAAGAGGAAAATGTTAAGAGGCATATTGTTCTAATGAACATGGTTGAAGATTCAAGTAAAAAATAACTAGACAATTTTCAGCTTTTAAATCTATAATTTAATATATTAAAAATAATTTATTATTAGAAACTGAGACATGTCCCAAGAATAAGCTCTTTTCACATTCTAAATGTTTTACAATTTAATCCATTATTTGTTGAAAACTTAGAAACAACAATATATAATTTTTGTCTTTTTTACAGAATTCTTACTTTTTTCATTTCTAAAAACATGTTATATCAGTACTATGTAATTATATTAACATATAGTCACAGATTTCAAATATCATAATAATATAAATACTTGTTACTTTTACTATAATTATGATATCCTACCAAAATTTCATTAGCAATCTTTTAGGCACACTGTCACCTAATACATGATGATGTTATATTTTTCCTGATAAAATTACAAAACTTACTTAATTTCATCAGAATTAATGTAAACTTTAGACCATTTGTATCCCAGTTTTTCTATTTTTATGTTTCTATTAATAAATGTCTTTAATAAAAAGAAAAAATAAATGTTAGCCATAATGCTACAGTCACACATGTACCTGTAAAAGAGGCCTCTTACAAAATTAATGCTTTCCCATCCACTGCCACTCACCCAGTCATCAACTTTATAGCAAGTTAAGCAAACAGTAGTAACTAAACAGTTTTTTCTCTTCTACATTGAGCAAAAGATACCTGAATTAAAAAAACCACTGATTTACCTTACACTATGTATTTATTCTCAAACTGCAGTGAATTACACTCAATAGCAGTTCAGTTAATACTAATTATTCCTATGTTTAATTCTGAAAATTAAATATATAGATATTTTGGACTTATATCCCTGTGTTTCTTTTTAATCTTGGCTTGATAAATATTAATAGTCATAATTAATATTACTATAATTATTATTATTGAAATCTTATAAAGTGTCAGGCACTATACTAAATGTTTATATATTGATTTATTAAATCTTATTATAACATTCAGTAAGTATTATTATCTCCATTCTACAGATGAGGAGTCTGAGACTAAGAGAAGTTTAGTGACCAAAGTCATATACCTAGTAACTGCTATAACTAGAAATCAAGCCAAGATTTGTAACCTTTACACTTCACTGCTCTAACAATATACTGCATAAACCAGGATTTAAATCCTACCTTCATTACCACCTTGTGACCATGGGCAAGTTACAACAGCTCTCTCTAATTTCTTATCTATTGTGAATGTTAAATTAAATGATAGATGTAAAATGCTCAGACGAGTGCCAGCCGCCTGACAGCCACTCAGTAAATGCGAGCTGCCTGATTCCACTTATACCCCAAATTTTCTAATATCTCTCATTTACTATATTCTTCACAACAATTTCTGTAGCAATGGCTTAACTCTAAAACATTTTCTCTTTTATCTTTCAGTTTTTAATTCACTAAATACAGATGTACAAAAAATAAACAGAGCTATATTTGGTATAATTACTAAATAACTTACTTTACAGTAAAATATAAATCAATATTTGTATTAAATCTCCTAAGTATTTTTGAGTTTCCAGACTTCAAACAATATTCTCTCTTCCTCGCATACACACATATACACATAAATACACTTGCACATATTTTGCTACATGAATACAAAAATTATATTTCTACAAAATGCATACATTACATTTCCCAAGTCTGCATATTGAGTAATTGAATAAAACTATTACTTTAATAGAATATAAACAAAGATACAGACTTAAAGGACAAACTGTATAGGTAAAATAAGTTCGAGCACTATATTTATGATTCAAATATATACCTCAATATTTTCCAAAATTATATATACAAGTATTATTGTAGAATAATGCCAACTACTTAAATAAAACTTGGAAAATGAAAAATAAATAATGAAGGCAAATATTTGTGAATATTCCCTATTCTTAAAAATAGGAAAAAAATGCACTAAATTGGTATAGATAGAAAGTTATTATATCTTTTGTTTTTCTGATAAATCTGTAAAGGAGTATAGAGCCAAAATCTCATATATTCTATCACATACCTTCAAGCCAAGCATTGCTCCTGAATCTCGAGGTACACTTCCATCTTTTAGACGCTTATTTAATAAAATGCGACCAATTAAACGATCTCCATCTTTAGATGGTTGCCATGTCACAGGGTGCTAACGCATTATATCAACAAACAAAAATATATTAATGTTCTTTTATGACAAACGACTCCTTATTATTGTACAATCTCTCTAAATTTCTGATTTCCAAAGTGCTGTGATTACACAAACCAGTTTACATTAAAAATTTTAAGCAAAAGGGCTTACCACATTATGCTTATAACCTCAATTTTATAATCTCAAGTTTTTTAAAATCCAATTATTTCAAATTCTTGAAGTGCTCTAATACAATACGGGAGTTATATAATTCTACAAAATCAGAGAAATCTTGAAAATATATTCAAATTCTAATTTAATTATGTACATGCAGAAGATTAATAAGTTTCCAGGCAGAAAAAATAGGTTGAAATTATATGTAATTAAACCTATTTAAAAATGAGAATTTAATTTTCAAACGCTTTTGGAAGATTTTCAGAGAACTTATTACAGTAAAAGTCAAAAGGTCAAAATATGTTAAAACACAAAATTCAAAACAACGATGAGGGCTTTCTTGAAAAAGGTTTCTAGATTAAAACTACAAAAAAATACACAACACTCAACTTTCCAATTGAATCTTCAGGGCAGAAATAGGCCTGATTCAAAAATGATTACATTTGTCACTTTTTGGAGGTTCACGGATTTTTTTCAGGTTTTTGATTTAGTTAGTAAATTAATTTTATTGGATAATTTAATGGTATCCATTGTTAAATAACATTCAAAATATGGAGAGTTTATCTCTTTCTCAGGGCAAAACCAAGCGCTGTATAAATCATAACACCATTCCATTATGAATTATACTTCAAATAACAAAGTAAATGATTTGTGTAATCACAGTTTCATAGTTATCTTAAAGTTACATGCACATCTTCATGCAAAATTTAGCAGGCAAAAGACAAGTTCCAGTCAATGACATCTATACAGTAATAAGATTTCAAAAGTCTCACTACACTAAAAGCAAAAATAATAAATACCAAAGCAGATGGCAATGGTTCTAATGCTAATTAATACTACATTAAAATGCTATGACAATAAAACAAAAGAGCAAAATGACAGTGAAAGGGAAAAAAGAAAAACAACTTTTTCTGTGCAAACAGACCCAATTATCTCCCTTTTGCCTGGGATTCAAACTATTAATAATTTAATTTTCATCCCAAGGAAAATATATGCAAGCATATCAAATAAGCCAATCAAAAAAATTCTTTATATTTGTAGTTTATAATAACATTACAAAGTTCTCTCATGCGACCATAGACAAAACATTCCTTTGTTCCTAATATTTTATTTCATTTACTTATTTTTTGGTATGCCGTCAAACAACAAAAACAGCAAAGCAAGCAAGAAGTATTTTGATTTGTTTGTTTTGGTTTTGTTTTTCTTTTCTGCACCTTAAGAAATGCTACATTGACCCTTGCAATGCCCTGTCCTTTTATTATGTTCTGTTTGAATGAGTGACAGAGAGCAAACGAAGACCAAATGAGCAGGGTTAAAAGGCAGGCTCCACAATCTCAGTACCTTATCGCTATGGCTATGCTCCTCGTTAAGGGTTGTGCTACTACACGTATCTACCCCAGAGTCCTTAATCTGAGGCTCAGACCATTCCAAATCCTCTTCCAAAGAGTGGCCACCAAAGTACATCATTTTCTTTTGTCTCTCAGACCTGGTGTTAGAATCCGACAAAACTGCCTGCTCACTAGTTTTTCTTTTTCCCTTTTGACTGTCCCCTATAGGTGTGGGATAAAAAAAAAAAAAAAAAAAAAAAAAAAGAAAAGAAAACATGCAAAGGCGTAAATAAAAAAAGGAAAAGTGAAATGCTAACGGAAATTAAATAGTAAGGCTCCACATGTCTCACCAAAGACATTGGGGATGCCTCACTGCTATGCCAAGACGTATGGTCCAACCAGTTGTAATCCATGTCTCCTGTGAGAGTCAGACAGACAAGAGTGCAGTAAAGGAGACGGCGAAATAAAGGACAGACGAAGACATTATAAACGGTTTAAACTGTGTGACACTGTCTGCTTTCAAGAACTTTGTCTCTATCACTCACTATATATACCAAGAGAAAGCTAAGATTCCAAATGAGTAAGATTTACAGAACAAATTTTACTAGACAGACCCTATAGAATAAAAGTCCTATAAGAACAGAAAATGCTAATAAACAAATAGAAATGAAAAAATTACATATTTGGAAACAGAAAAAGACTATCAGCTATGTCTGTTACTCATGCTATTTTTTTCATGCTGGCTTACAGACATGAATTTCATTCTCCAAAGATTAAGGAACATTTTAAAAATTAACAGTGGTTCGCCAATAACCACTATAACAAAAAGCCAAATAATTCAACGTTGTTTCTGGAACGTAGTATCATATTCTTTATAATGCTGAAACCTCCTTAAAAAATTTGGGTGGTTAAAAGAAAAGAATTGGTTACACAAAAAAAAATAATTTTGTATGAAAATAACAAAACAGATTTGCTCACTTTCTATTAATAAAAAAATAAACTTTACTTAAATATCATGAATTACTTGTTACTTTGAAACAATTTAACTTTTTTCAGAAATAGAACTTATAAAAATTCTTTTAATATAATTTTGTCAGATAATTTGTGTAGTTGGCAACTAAGAATAAATATCCATTTCCAAACTTATGTGCTTTTTATTTGCCTTACATCTGAAAAAGAATTTTTTTTAGTCTATATGTGCACATACATCTTTTAAAACTCTATTTGTACATCATTTATTTAGAAATATTTACTAAACACCTTCCTTTTGCTATGCATCGTACTAAGCTCTAGTGTAAGGGGTAAAACAATGAGATATACAACAAAGTAGAGATAAATACAATAAATAATCAGTGTCGTTAGGGAAATATAAAACACTGATAGAGTATAATAAGATCTAATTTAAATTTAGGGGGTCAGCAAAAACCTCTAAAGAAGTAATGTGTAAGATGAGAACTGGAATACGTGACCTGAAGAAAAAGTAAGGAGACAGGCAGAAGGCAAGTGGAGAAAAGAGCATTCCAGGAGGAAGTAACGACATGGTACTTAGGAAAGAACTGCTAGAACACCAGTGTATCTGCACCAAAAAGAATGAGGGTGAATCTAAAGCTAAATGAGATTGGTGAGGCAGCACAAACCAGCTAAGTGAGGGCTTTTTATGCCATATTAAAGATTATGAATTTCATTCCTTGAAGGCTTTTAAGATGGTGACATAAACTGATCTACATTTCTAAAAGATGAATCTAAGCACTAAGTAGAGATTGAATTAGAAGACACCAAGAGCTAAAAGGCATTTGCAATATTCCATGGGACAGGTGATTAGGGCTTTAACAAAAGTGATGGCACTAGACATTGTAAGAAAAGAGGGAACTGAGAGGTGTTCTGACTGTAGAAATAAAAGCGTTAAGAAAGACTGAAGAGTCAAGAATAACTCCCAGGTTTCTGGCATTAAAGACAGAATGGAAGGAAAGACCATTTACGAGAGAGAGAGAAGACTGGAATAAGAACACTTTTTATTAGGGAAGGAATGGAAGGAATTACTCTATTTCATAGACCCTAAGATGTCACTGACTATAAGAGTCATAGATATTAAAATAAAAACATGCATCTAAGAATTTATTAAACATGGCGATTAATTTTAGATATATTGTTTTAAATACCTATCAGTTATTCAAGTTGGCATATAAGAAATCAAATGGTTAACCTACAATAAAGTTTAGAAGGAATGTTCGAGCTAGAGACATAAATTGGGAATTACTAGCATACAGACAGGAGTAAGTAGATCATTTAGGAACAGTGTATAAAGTAAAATATGAAGAGGACCCAGAATGAATTCTAACATTTAGAGTTTGATTTGAGCGAGAGCGAGAGTGACAGAAAAAGACATGCAGAGAAAGAAAAAGGAGGGAGGGAGATGGTAATCTAAAATAAATAGAAAAGAATTCCCTAAACAGGAGAAATCCACTATCCTGAATGATTTCTACACATCAAATACGATAAGGAACTGAAAAGTGTCCATTTGATCTGGCAACAAGAGGATCAAGAAAGATCTTAGAAAAAGCACTCTGGATGAAATGATGAAAATTAAAATCAAACTGAAATAATTGAAGCGTCAAAGAGAGACAAAAAAGTAGAAAATCGTGTGTAGATGAATGGTTCACAAAGTGAAATCTCCAAAATAGCATAATCAACATCACCTGGGAACTTGTTAGAAATGCAAATTCTTGGGCACCACTCTACACTTAATTAATCAGAAATTCTGTAGATGGGGCCTACCATCTGTGATTTAACAAGCCCACCAGGTGATTATGCTCTCACTGATGTTTGAGAACCACTGGAGACAGTTCAAAAAGTTTATAGAGGATGATGAAGTTGTGCTAAAATACACAGAATTAAAGTTGTAGAAAAAAAATTCTTTAACCTGTGAACTACAGTTGTGCTTCCCGGTCTCTTTCATGGCAGAAATAAACAATTAGAATTTTATGGCTATTCAAAAAGTCGAGAGTATTTGTATCTAAAAAAAAACTATAACCCTTTGAAAATAAACTATTGGTTCTACAACAAAGCACTGACAAATCTCTGAGTTGAATTAAATACAGAATAGAGACTGAAAATAAAAATTCTTGGCTAGTTTATATGAAGGTGTGAGACCAGCTCAAAATCTCTCTCCTTCCCTTTTATCTGCAGCCTACCAAAAAAGCAGAAATGTAGTTCTTTCCTATATAAAGGAAATCAACCATTTTAACCACTTAGAGCTAAAGTGAAAATATTTGACGAAAAAAAAAAAGTGTCATATATGGTAGGCATTCAGTAAACACCTGTCGAATGAGTAAAAATTAGTGTTACTATAATTCAATAAAGTAATCAATGTAAAACATAGAAAAATAGTCCTAAAATACTAGGACTATTAGTATTTAGATAATACTTAACACTTAATATTCTTTTATGTAGTTTCAAAGGGCAGAACTAAGATAATAAAATATACTTCTTTTCGTAGCAGTACAAAAACATATTGCTGGGCTTTCCAGTTGTAGAACAAGAAATAGAAGACACAAAAAGAACCAAATGGAAATTCTAGAACTTTTTGAAAAATAACTGAAAATAAAAATGCAAATGATGGGCTCAACTGCAGAGTGGAGAGGCAGAGGAATGACAATAAACTTGAAAATAGAACAACATAAATTACTCAGTCCAAAAACAAGGAGGGAAAATAGACTAAAAATAAAATAAAATAAAATGAACAGAGCCTCAGGGGCTTGAACTGCTATAGCAGAAGATTCATTTCATTATGGTCCTAAAAGAAGAGAGAGAAGATGGAGCTAAAAAAGTATTTGACGATATAATAACTGAAGATTTCCCAAATTTGCAAAACATGTAAGCCTACTAACCCAAGACACTTCATAAACTCCCAACAAGAAATACACAAAGAAATCTGTGCCAAGAAACATAACCAAACTAAAAACTAAAGACAAACTGTATTGAAAGCAAGAAAGAAACAACACCTTACCTAAAGGGGAAAAACAATTCGAATGACAGTGGATTTCTCCTCAGAAATCTTGAAGCCAGAAAGAAGTGGCATAATATTTTCAATTACTGAAATAAAAGAAATGTCAACCCTGAATTCTAAATATGGTGAAATTATCTTTCAAGAATGAATTAGAAATAGACATTCTCACACAAAAAGAAAACTAAGAGAATTTGTCATCAGCAGATTTACCCTAAAAGAATGGCTAGAGAAAGTTCTAGAAACAAAAAATAAGGAACCTGGAAATTTGGAGAAGGAATAAAAAACATGGTGAGCAAAAATATGGATAAATACAATAGACTTTCCTTAACTTATTTAAATTTTTAAATCATATCTGATGTTTGAAGCCAAAAGTTATATTGTTTGATGTGCTTTTCAACATTTATAGAGGAAATATTTAAGACAATTACATTATAAACAGGGAAAGGTAAAAGAAGTTAAAGTATGTAAGGTTTCTACATTACACTCTAATAGTAAGATGTCAATACTCATAGAATATGATAAGCTGTGCGTATATATTGCCTAGAGCAACCACTAAAAAAATACATTTGCAAAGAAATATACTCAAAAATACTACAGATGAATCAAAATGCAATTCTAAAATAAGCTCAAATAACACACAGGAAGGCAAGGGAAAAAAAACAGAAATAAAAAAGAGGGGGCAAACAAAAAAAAATGGCAAATAACAGAAAATGAAGACCAATATCTCTCATGAATATATACACAGAAATCCTTAACAAAATATTCACCCATAGTATATAAAAAGAATAATACACTCTGACCAAATGGGGTTTATTGATGCAAGACTAGGTGAATATTGAAAATCAATGTAACTTATTATATTCACAAGTTAAAGAAGAAAAATCACATAATCTATTCATTGATACAAAAAAAATATTCATGAATTAAAAAAAAGAAAATAAAGAATAGAGAACTTGCTCAAGTAAATAAAGGACATCAACTACAGGTAAAACATTCTTAATGGTAAAAGGCCGAACGCTTTATATAAAGAGAAATTTCACCAAAAAAGTTACCTTTATTTGTAATAGTCCAAAAGTAGAAACAACCAAAATGTTCTCCAAGAGGTGAATAACTAATCAAACTGGTATAACCATACCATCGAATATTAGTAATAAAAAGGAAAACCTATTGATACATAAAATAGATGGACCTCAAAGACAATATACTGAATGGAAAA